AGCCATGAAGAGGAATGCATCCCCAGGGCCAGATGGATTCAATGTGAAGGTTTACCTTGCTTCTTGGGAGTAGATTGGAGATGGCATAACAAAATTGGTCAGAGATTTTTATATCCAACGTATGTTTTCAAAGCACATGAATGATACTCACATTGTCTTGATTACTAAGAAATTAGCACCCCGCATTCTTCAAGATTTTAGGCCTACTAGGTTGTGTAAAGTGATCTATTAGATTATTACTAAATCCCTAGCTAATAGGATTAAACCTCATTTTCCTAGTTATATTCATGAGAGTCGACAAACTTTTATAGAAGGTAGAAGGATCAGCAACAATATCATTTTTGCTCAAGAAACAACTCACTCCTTTCAACCTTAATTCTTGGAACAACCCTACCCTCATGATTAAAATTGATTTGGCTAAGGCTTTTGATAGAGTTGAATGGAACTTCTTTATGCAAGCACTCTCACTTAAAGGGTTGCATGATCATTTCATAAATTTGGTACATGTCTGCATTGCAGCTCCTACATTTTTTGTTATCATTAATGGACAATCATATGGTTGTTTTCAAAGCAATAGTGGTATCCTACAAGGTTGTCCTTTATCCCATATTTTATTGTTCTTGCCACTAATGAACTTTCAATATCCTTGCAAGAAGCCATATGTTTTGACCATCTCATAGGATAACTTTGGGGCCAAGATGTCCACCTATTCATTCCCCCATGTTTGTTGATGACCTATTGATTTTTGGAAAGGCCACTAAAGCGGAGGCTACCCACTTGCATAGAATTTTCCAAATCTTCTGCAGCCTTTTAGGTTAGGTGCCAAACTTGAGTAAACCGGTAATCATTCTGAGCAGGAATGTCGACATCAACTTCAAGTAAGACATTGGGAGAGTGTTACCTATACAAGATATCAGTGAGAGCTCTATCCACTTGGGGCACCCTTTGATTCTCCATTCAAAGGGTCAGTCCAATGCATATAACATTATTGCTAGTAAATTTAAAGCTAAGCTATCAGGATACAAAGCTAATAAACTCTCACATTCCGCTAGATTTAACTTACTTAATTTAGTTTTTTGCCTTCATTCATGTCTACTGCATGTCGAGCATTCTCTTTTCTAGAAAACTTACTGCAAATATTACTTCCATTTTTAGAAATTTTGGTGGAAAGGAATAAAATAAGAACCCTTGAAGAAAGCTCTTTGCCTTAGAGCCTGGAAACATATTTGCATGTCTAAAGCAAAAGGAGGACTATGAATCAGTAATATTCAAATAATAAATATAGGGTTGATCCTCTCAACGGCATGGAGAATTCAGAAGATCCTTAAAGCTTTCTCTCCCAAATACTTTCCAGGCACATCTATATGGAGAGCAAAAACCAACATCCCAAAAACAGGAAATTGGGCCTCCGTCCTTAAGGCAAGGCTCATTCTTCAAGAAAATGTGAGTTATCAGATTCTTGATGGAAACTCCTTCTTTTGGAGCCCTCCCTGGTTCCCCTACTCGCATTCTATTTATGACCATTTGCAAATTCAGCCAGGGCATTATGTCTATCCGTCTCGGGTTAGGGGCTTGTGGTTGTAAAATTAGAAAGCTTGGAATGCATTTAATCTTCTTTCTTTTTGACCACCAGGTAGTTAATACCATTATGCAGATTCTAATAATCCAACAGGAAGGTGCAAAGATTCTTTGTTGGAAACTTCACCTCTCTAGGAAATGTACCTCCAAAACAGCCCATAGGGCATGCTTACAAGACATGCAGAAGCAGGGAGCACCCATGCCTAGATAGGTGCCGCATGAAACCAAGCAGCTACTAAAACAGGTATGGAAAGAAAAGGCCATGGTGCCCAAGGTGCAAGCGTTTGCTTTCAAACTCTTTGAGAAAAGCAACATTCATATTCAAAAACAATGCATTAGATGTGACCGGGCATGTTAAAAAGGAATGCATTAGATGTGACCAGCCAGAAGATGATATGCACCTGTTCTTTACAAGTCCTTTTGCCAAGATCGCTTTGATCTGTGAACTGTGGTATATCAATTCTGAAACCTTTTCTCATACCCTTGCTAACATCAAGAATATTATCAGGCTCTTCTTCATTCAAATCACCCACATGCTCCGCTCATTAATACCATGACATTTTTGTGGTGTATCTGGAAAGCCAGGAATGATACCCTCTTTGGTAGGAAAAACACTATTCCCTTCCAGATCCATCAAATAATGCAAGCCATTTTAAAGAATCAAGAGTTGGCCTACCAAGAAGAGCAAATACAACAATACAATTGCCTTAATCAGCACAACTGAGATCCCAAAGCAAATTTGCAACAATTCAAGAATGCAGGGGAAATGCAAACAATATGTTGCAAGGTTTTTCGGATGTTGCATGGACAAACAATGCAAGCATAGCTTCAGTAGGTGCCAACACAACAGGTGTAGGAGTTTGTATACTGTTTGAAAATGCAGGAGTCAAAGTATGCATCCCCATTTGGGTTACTGGGAGCAAAATATCTTCTCCTTTGCAAGCTGAGGCGATGGCACTCCCGTTTGTAGGTGGTTTCCCAGATTCAAAGCTTGACCATCACTTTCTTCAGAGACAGCATCACCCTTGCCCAGGCTGCAAATACAAGGGATCTCTTCTCTTCCCAAGGCATTGGGAAATTAGAGGTCAACTAGCAAGTTTCTTTGGTACAACTTCTCGAGTTCATACTCAGGTGCTTCATATCCCTAGAAACCTTAATAGTGAAGGGCAAACTTGTGCATCCAATGTTTATAGGCTTGATCAAAATTCAAAGAAACCCTGGAATTTAAAAAGGGCAATAGTGAGCCAAATACGTGTTTTGAGAAAACAAAGGGGCTCTCTAACCAAAATACAAAGGAAAAGGATAGGTGCAGAGACTCAACTCTAAACTAAAGAAAGAGGGGTGTCATACTTTATACATTTAATAAACACGTATAGATAGTGACATAGCAAATGATTAATCACAGAACCCATATTATAATATAGGTTCTTTATCTTTTTTTAAAATAAAACTAGAAATGATTATGAAATAAAAAAACTCATATCATAATATATTTTCAATTATTGTGAATCCACTCTAATCGAATATTGCATAATCAAATTCTTCAATTCAAATTCAAATTCAAATTCAAAGTTTTCGAGATTTTTAGACAAGTGGATTAATCGGAGTGTGAGTACAATAGTGAGATGTAGTAGCTCAATGTACAGAGATGTTCAATGTCCAGCGGTCTTAAATCTAAGCAATCTAAATGTAGAGGATTTTTGAATCCTTCATGTAAATTGCCTTTGGTGCCTCCCCTTGTTAAAAAAAACAATGCCTTGTGGTGGAATGTCATACTTTTGTCGATGCAAAGTGTTTATCTCTCGCTCGAAGCTTACGAATAAAGTCAGATATGCCCAGTCCTTGACGTATTTGACAGAATAGTTTTCTTTTTAAAGGGTTTGACAGAATAGTAAGCTGGGCCGTGAGGGATCTCATGTGTTTGTCGCACGCTCACGATAAGTGACGATAGTAAGGGCTTCTATAATGCAAGGTACTTAGATGAAGTGACTAGAGAATAAACCAGTTCTTTAAGCATCAGTGTTTATTTACAAGCACTCATGCTAGTGCTAAAAAAGTACTTGATTTATTGTACGAAACATCTCCCTAAGCCCTTTGCACTGTACTCTTTGTAAAGAAATATAAAAGCATTTAGAACACTACTTTAACGATCTAAACGCTCTTATATTTTTTTATGAAGAAAATACGAACACTATTAGTTATACTCTCTGTAAAGAAATATAAAAACATTTAGAACACTACTTTAACAATTTAAACACTCTTATATTTCTTTATGAAAAAAGTACAAACATTATTTTAGTAATCTAAACGCTTGGACGGAGTACAAGCCTAACCCCGACAATGTTTCTCTGTGGGTATACGGGGTGCCCTGTGGGCTGTGGTGCGGTCGTTGTGCCACTATTTCTGTTTTTTCACTTGTTAACTGAATAATTTATATTAATGGATCGAGCCCCAAGGACATAGGAGTCCAGTTTGACAAAAAAAAGACTAAATTGCATGTGAATCAGCTGTACCCAAATACCCAGCCTAAAAATTGCGGCAAAGTACAAAATATACCTAAGACTTGTAGGAAGGTAGAAATTCTTCCTACGTTTTCTTCCCTTTAGTGACATCAAGTTTGATAAATGTAGTACTCCCTCAGTTTCGAAATACAAGTCCTTCTAGAGATTTCACCGACTACAAATGGATGTATATAGACACACTTCAGAGTGTAGATTCACTCATTTACTCCATACATAGTCTATATTAAAATATCTAAAAAGACTAATATTTAGGAATGGAGGGAGTAATACTGTTGTTATATTGTCCACGTAATCAACTTCCTACTTCCGAAAATACTTGTCATCAAAATGGATTAAAGGGGATGTATCTAGACATATTTCCGTTCTAGATACATCTCTCTTTATTCATTTTGATGACAAGTATTTCCGGACAGAGGGAGTATAATATAGTCCAACTAAAAAATGTTTTTGAGGCACAAACTGTAAAACCACTTGCATCATGAAGCTAAGGGTGCAAGTATAAAAAAGTAAACTTTATTTCAGGCTAAGCGTTGCAATGTGTAGACTATACTAGCCTACAAACAAAATATTGACACGCAACGTAGCGGAACTGGCAGTAATTTTAAATTTCCCCATGATGAAATTGAAAGCGCATGCCTAAGGTTAGTAGTACGTGCACGCGGAAAGACGTGGAACAATGCTGAGAGGACAACTGTAGCGCAAGAACGCGACAAATGCCCCACCAGCAGCTCCTGGATCCCCCACAGGCCCGTTAAGCTCACACCAGCCCACCGGCAAACACTGCACTAGACGGAAAAAATAATGGGTGGTGTATAAAAACCGACGCAACTCAAAATAACTCCAGGCGGAAGGCACAAACCCCTCGGAGAATAAGGAATTAAAAATGAAATAAAAGGTGTTTCAATGTGTACTTTCTGGAGAATTAGGTATCCGACTTAAATTTACCCTACCCTCCACCAACACACCTTCACAATCCTGAGCGCCACTTGCAACAACATCCAACTCCGAAACAAAGTTAGATGCATTCACTTCACCATCCCCAGGGCTGTCATCAGTAACCTCATCCATATCTTTTTCAACTGCTGCATGCATGGAGTCAGCCTCTCCACTGTTAGGAGTAGCCACAGAAGGAGGATCATCCTTGACTTGGCCAGATTGTTCTGTGAACGCTGGAGGCACAACCTCTACAGTATCACCTGGCTCTTCATTTGCTGAAGGAACCTCCTGCGAGCCATCAATATGTTCTATGATTAATCCTGTTGCATCATCTGCTGGGCCATCCACGGGTACGGCAACTGCAGGTGGTGACACATCCTCCATGTTTTTATCAGGTTCTGTGATTGATGGAGAGGCAGCCACCTCCATATCTTCATCAGGACCTGCGGTTCCAGGAGGTGCCACCATCTCCGTGTCACCAGATTCAGTGATTACTGGAGGTGCATCCACATCGCCAGATTCTGTGATTGCTCGAGGAGCATTCACATCACCAGAGTCTGTGATTGCTGGAGGTGAATCCACATCACCAGATTCTGTAGTTGCAGGTGGCCCTTCAAAAATGCCAGTACGGTGGTGCAAGACAGGGTTACTCACCGTCAATTCCTTCAGTGGAGTACGGTCAAGCATTTCTGTGTCCTCCTTATTCTCTTGTGTTGAGTCCATTTTCCCATCAGTTTGCGCTTGGGTAGGAGCCACAGCTCTCTCTGTCTGATTCTTGTGAAGGGCCATAGCTCTCTGTTATGGTAAAAAAAAATGTTAACACCCATATCAAAAAATTGATAGTTAAAGACTGGTATATACAAGTAACATACAAATGAATTACTGGATTCAAAATCAGAATTGGATAATCTTCAAGAGTAGATTGGATTAACTTGCCTGAAAAGTTGCATCGTTGTTCTTCACATAAAATAAACCCAACAGATTGGGGCTTCCCTGTTCTCTACTTATCTTTCCAGCATTTCCATTCTTCTGAGAGAAAAAAAAGCCATAGTGAGAAAATAGGAAAACCATATTAGAGGAAACAGATACATCAAAATAGGCACTGTAATACCTGAATAGAGCCATTCCAAACAACATCAGGGCCACCATTTGCTATGCCCAAGTCTCCCAGCAGAGATGTGCACCTTTTGTACAACTCCGACTCAACAAGATCATGCGACACACTAACTCTCGATAAATAGTTTCTAGAAAATACTGCAGTACCGTTGCTTGACAACATGGAGGCCATGAGTGTTGTTCCCCTGGGAGCATCAGAACTTTTTACAGCACTTGTGACATCACCCTTTGCTTCACGTTTTTCTGAAACCAAATGGTTTGCTTCTTTCTGCTCAAAAGGATTAAGATTGCATTGTCCACCTGAAGACTCTGAAACAGGGGTTGCTAAAGAGTCAAGCTCCTTTTTAGCAACAGGAAATTCAGTGTCAGCCAATTCATTTTGTCCCTTCAATGCATCACCAGTTGCCTCCCACCCTCTGCTGCCGACATGCAGCTTGTTCTGATCCCATTCTTGCCTGCCATACATATAAGGTTCACCACCAAATACACCAGTGCCCCCATTCCAAACTTGTAGGTGAGGGGGGCATGATTCATCGAGCGGATTAGGCCACCCAAATGGGCGAATGTGGGGCGAAAACCTGTCAACGGTGTCATGCATAGGATATGAAACTCCAGTTTGGCTCAACTTCATTTGGGGCCTAAGGTTAAACATAGGTGGGGGGTGAAACTGATGTACAGGTGGGTGAAATCCAGGAGCACCATGCTGCATGGGGACAAAACCATTTGCAACTTGAGATGGCCAGCTCGGTGCATTATTCCAGGCATGCCCATGGCCGCGTCCAGAATTCATATCATTCCTCTTCTGATGGGCATGGAACCTCCTATCTCCACTTTGCGGTCTACGGTCATCATCATGTGAACCCAAGAAGGAAGAATCATCTCTGTGCCTCGCAGGTGGCAGCAGTAGACGATTTGGAGAAGTGCCTGAAAAATGCCCACCTCTGCTTATGGATGATGCAGAGGGTGTTGATTCTCTGTATGGAATTTTAGATGGTGTTCGATCTTGATGAAGTGACCGTTCTAAGGATAAATCACCATCCCGATCTCTATATTTAGTCAGGTTGCTCCTTTCCCCTTTGTTATCAAGACTACGGCCACCGCTAAGCCTACCTGAAAACCTTTGGTCGTTTGAAGATGGGGATTTATCAGATAGCTGTTTTGGTGAAGGATGCATATCTTTCCTTGGTGTTCGATCATATTGTGACGATGTAGAAATTTCCAATGGTATGTCACGTGACTGGAGATCATCCTTCTGTTTGAGCCTTTCCGAAGACCAATTGTCAGTATCCCTGTCACGCAGTCTAGAAGCAGGTGTCCGTTCTCTCCCTGAGGATGTCCTTGGTCGAATACTTCTTTCATCATATTGTATCTCTCTCTTTGTATTATCTGCCAGTTTAGATCCATGCCTGCAGATAATTGATTGGTCAGTTAAACTTTAGAAGAAGCAAGCATCAAAGAGAAATGTAGGCATCATGAACTGCATCAGATTGTTTTATTAGTGCTGAATATCTAAGACTATTTATCAACCAGAAAAAAAAAACTAGAGTTCACAATACAAGGATTCCTACAAGTACTCCCTCCGTCCGAAAATACTTGTCATCAAAATGGATAAAAAGAGTTGTATCTAGAACTAAAATACACCTAGATACATCCCCTTTTATCCATTTTGATGACAAGTATTTCCGGACGGAGGGAGTATTTACCTTCTGATAGGCAAATGTGCAACACATATACAAACAGTCAAAACTACAATATGCTTTTTCTCTGAAATACACAAAATGATAAATTCTACTCCATGCAAGTTCTTCTGTTTGCATTTATCCATTTCTCACCATCAATAACCGCAATAAACACTTTTAGTCATACTCCTATCTGCACATTCATGACCAATATTTACCTAACACACAGTTATAGGGATTATCTCACTCTGAGATTCCAAGTAGCTAATGCTGCTAATCAGCAACCAAATCCATGTAGAAACCTTACAGCCCTCGATTGAGTGATATACACTTACTCAATACACCTATATATGACATCAATAAGCATGCCAAAATTTGCATGGTTAAATTTAAGTGATATCTATAATTATACATGACAAAGACATATCATCTTGCTATTTAGATTAGTTATGATGCTAAAGTGGAGCATGATATCTCCAACAACAAGAGAAGATACAGTACAAAGCTGAAGTCTTCTAATCTACTACAGACTTTCGTATGACGAATGATAAAGAAGAAATGTTACCAGCTTTGATCTTTTTCATGATGAGGATTTGAGCCAGGCGAAGTTCTTGCATGGACTTTACTCGGACTAGAATCAACATTTTCTTGATGTCTATGTTCAGACCTTGCTCTCTCAATCAGAGAATCGAGTCGCCCACTGCCTGAAGATTTTTCCAAATTTCCACGTTGCTCCCGTGCGCTTGGAGTTTTCAGATCATAATGGTCATCATTTTCCTCAGGAAGTCTTTTTCTACCTCTATTTTCCTTGTACCTACTGCCATACTCATCATAACGATCACCGTCTTGAACTATATCTTTTCTGTAATGGCCCTCTGAAATTCGGTGCCCATCTTTTGTGCTCTTGTAATCAACCCTGTCACTTCCATGATCTCGGATCATGCGCTCATCCAGACACTTGTCATCTTGCTGTCTCTTATCCCTTTCATAATCATCCTTGTACTTCTGTTTATACTTCTCATCATCAAACCTTTGTTCCTTAGAGCTCCTAACCTTCCCATGATCATACCTGGACAGAGTCTTCCTGTCATCACTGTCTCTATTGTCAATTGGCCACTTATCTTTGTCTTCCGAGTCGTCTTTTCGTCGGCTGTGTTTATCAGTCTCCCTATCCCTATCCCTATCGGGGTTACTGTGTCTCTCTTTAGCTGGAGTATCTGCTTCAAAAATGTGCACTTTAGAAACCGACATAAGGAAGAATATTATGAAACAATAAAAAACATGTAGAGGCGGGCAGGAAGGAACAAACAGAACAAGTAAATTAACTAGATTGGTAATTTGTTCACAACTTCACACCCGTTCCAAAAATGCTAGACCAGATGTAGAAAAATATGGTTACAGAAAAAATATAAAAGCTACTCGCATAAGTTCCAGAAGATCAGCATATGAGCAAGGCAAAGTTTAATCATATGAATATAATAAGATTATCAGTATGCTAAGGAAATCTCAAATCAGCTCTCCAATGCTAATATCCAATGATAATAACGTTATTAAATTTCTATGGTAGGACAGGGTTTTTTTCAGCAGTTTGGTTAACCAAATAGGTACGATGTATGGAATCAAAGCACAAGAAAAAACAAAGACTAAATGAAAAATGGACTCTTTGCAACCAAGTAGAGACGAAACAGTAAAGTTCAACACTTCTCATCTTATGGGGCCACTAATATTCGTTATATGATTAAAATGGTGGTGGAGGAAAGCAGCACAAGTCCAAATGCAGTCAGAGTATCAAATTAAGTACTGTGTTATGCAAATTAAAGCATGCATAAATAAACAGTAGCACAGGTAGCTGGAATATTATCAGCATTGTCAGGAACACTTCAAACAAGGGTTACCTTACCATTGATCTCTACGTGTCTCTTGTATGAGTAACCCTCATCCTCCCCTCTACTAGTCTTCGAGCCATTCTTCCTGGCACTGCCATCTTCATACTTCTCATTCTTGGAATCGTAGTCTTTCTTGTCCCTCTCCCTATCCTTTTGCCTCTCACGCTCCCGTTCCCTGTCACGCTCCCGCTCTCGTTCCCTGTCACGCTCTTTATCCCGCTCCCTCTCCCGTTCTCTCTCCTTCTCCTTCTCCCGTTCTCTTTCCTTCTCCTTCTCCCTCTCTCTGTCCCGGCCCCTTTCCCTCTCTCTCTCCTTCAGTCTCTCCCATTCTTTCTCCCTTTCCCTCTCCTTTTCTCTATCTCTCTCCCTATCCCTATCTCTGTCATCCTTATGCTGCCCACTACTCTCCCTCCTCCCTGGGTCCTTCTCCTTCTCCTTCTCCGACCGCCGCTTCCCGGAATCACTCTTGGACACAACCTCCTCAACCCTCTCATCCGATCCCGCCGTCCGTCTGCTTGACCTCTTGGGCTCATCCCCTGAAGCCTTGGGCTTCTCCGCCAGCTTCTCCACATCGACGGGCCCAAACACCTCACTCTTAGACCTCTTCTCGACCAAGTGATCCTCACACACGCCGCTGTTCCACCTGTCGCTGACCACATCCACCACCGTCTCCTCAACCCTATCCTTCCTCTTCTTCCCGTGCTCCGAGTAGCCGTTCCCCGAGCTCACCAGCTCCTTGGCCGATGACGATCTGCGCCTCTCTGGCTCGGGATCTCGCGGAACCCTAGCCACGGGCGGGGCCTCCTCCCGCGGGCCAGGGGCGCCAGCATCCTCGCCCTCAGACTCCGACCGCTCCGCCGAGCCGCCCCGCCTGTGCGACCGGTGCGACGACCTGTGGCGCGAGCTCCGGGGCATGGTGGGGCCAGCCAGAACCCCGCCTCGAATCGCACCGCGCTCGGGGCGGCGGCGAGGATGCGAGGGAAGCCGGAACCCTAGGGCGCGCGAGATCCAGGGGATCTAGGCGGCCGTCGTGGCGGCGGGGAAGGGGAGGGAAGAGAGTGGACCCTGGCCCCGGGCGGCTAGGGTTTTTGGTGTGGTGGGGAAACAGGATGGGAGGAGTGGAGGCGGCGGCGACGACGAGTTCGTGCGTGGAGAAAATGGTTCAGTTTTGTTTCGTTCGGCTTTGGATTTGGAGGGGGTTTGGTGTGGTGTGGTGCGGTGCGTTCGTCTCGTTGGCCCGGGTGGTTGCTCGCGTGCGGCCGGTAGGGGCGCCGGCGCGGGATTGGACACGAGAGTCCATGCACGTCGCCCGCGGGTCCTTCTGTAGTCGAACGTCCGTACTACGAAATCGAGTCGAATCCGGCCGGCGTAAAGCCATGCATGTACCGGGAGTATTGTTATTATGTGTGTCACTAGACAATATTAATTACTCCTAGATGGTATATATAGAATTAAATGAAGAAAAAAAGGATCGAGCATTTTATCAGGGCTAGCAAACATACCCGTGCGTTGTAACGGAAAAAAGAAAGGCATCCCTCGTGCAAACACCCGACGACATCAATAAATCTCTTGAAATATTTCACTGTACTACATGACAAACAACATGATAAATGCAAAAAATTAATTTGGCTCCCGGGCCCAAAAATATCTTTTTCAAATGTCAAAAAAATCAACACAAAAAATTTATGTGATCTTAGTCACATAAAAATGCTACCTGCAAATTTTGAGGCAAAAATGTTAAGCATTTTGGCTTGTGAAAAACAGACTAATTAAAGACCAAATGTCACTTCAAGTTTATTTATTTTTCACCGACGAAACATTGCTGCTCCATTTCGCATGAAGTTTGTGAAACATACTTGCGATACTAACACGAGCATCTACAAAAGATCGGAATTCTTTGAAAAACAATTTACATTCTTACGAATGTACTGTTCATCCGGGAGCACATGCTCCTAGGAGCCAATGGTGTTGCACAACTAAATAAATATGGGATGAATTTTTAAATACACTCAAGGTGTTTCCAATTTATATTAGACAAAATAAATATCTGTCTACTTGCCGGTACGTGTCTCCAATTTATATTAGACAAAATAAATATCTATCTAGTTGCCGGTAACTATTTGCGCCTTTTCTGTCGTTACACCTCGGTCATGCCCAACAAATATTACACTATGATGAAAATAACAAAGTACATTTTTCAAATTCACGAACATTTTCTACAAATTCATGAACATTTTATAAATCATGAACATTTTTTGTATTGGCCTGCAAATTCATGAACAATTTTTGAATCGACAAACATTTTTTGAATTGACGACCATTTTTTGACTCGGCAAACATTTTTGAATTGATAAAATAAAGTATGAATCGACCATTTCTTTGAATCGATGGAACTTTTTGGAATCAGTGAACATTTTTCGGAAATGCATGAACATTTTTTGAATCAATGAAATTCTTTTGTAATTCATGATCATTTTTTGATTTTCTAAACATTTAAAAAGATCATGATTTCTTTGAATTCACGAACATTTGGTTCAAATTCATAAACATTTTTTGAATACGCGAATAGTTTTTCAAAATCATGAACATTCTTTTAGTCCACAATTTTTTTATAATTTCTAGAACATTTTTCGTAAATTCGCATTTTGTTTGAAACTTGGATAATTATGGAAATCCCAGATTATTTCAAATAAGGAAAGAAAAAATAAATAGCAAATAAGAAACAGAGTCCAGCTCCGCTCATGGGCCAGCCCAATAGGCGCGTCGGCTCTCTGGTGTTCACGATTTATAAAAGAGAAAAGGGAGGATAAAGCGGAGAAAGGTGGGACCGAACCTAGGTCTATCGGGTGGAAGAGAGAAGCTCTACCCTGCGCGGTGCCTACCAACTTGTGATATCTAATGGGATTCCACCTAAATGAACCAACCAAAGGCGCCTTTGTGAAGGAAATTTTCTGACTTACGGGTGGCAGAGTAGGTAATTTGTGCCAACTTTAGGGGTAAATTTAGAACGAACGGGCAGAAGCACTAATCCTTTACTGTTAGGCATAAATAACGTATCATATGCTACTATGCATCACGCATGACAATAAAATAAGATCATTTATATAACACTAATGTATGATATTATGTATTATGGAGGTAATATGATATACTAGTATCATATGCATGATACTACCTATTACGTGCAGCCTCAGAAAGTTCAGCAGCAGCGAGCCGATAGCGCGCTTTGAGCATGGTTAATAGTATATGTTGTTGTCATGTCATCTACAGCCGATCTTATTGTCAGCACGTATAATAGTTAGCTATAAATATGAACTATTATGGCCCACCTTACATTCTCAAAAATGTTTCTGTGAACAGTGTTGCAGATGGCTGTTAATCTACAACCTGCTTTTCTTCTCTCTCATTTTCTCATTTTCCAACCCTGCAAAAGTATATTACTTAAATCTTTATAGCCCGCTTAGGCCATCTTATTATGCTTGCTCTTCTGCAGCATCTACACCCCTCGAACCCTTTTTTGTATGTGTGAATCAGTTTGTGTGGTTGGATGATTAGGAGGACCCTGATATCCTTAGACCACCGATGAAGCGTGAGTAGTTTACCACAAACCTACGGGCCATAGCTAGTAGCTAGATGGCTTCTTCTCTCTCTTTGATTCTCAACACCATGTTCTCATCGATGTTCTTGAAGATCTATCCGATGTAATCTTCTTTTGCGATGTGTTTGTCGCAATCCGATGAATTATGAATTTATGACCAGTTTATCTATGAATATTATTTGAATTGTATCTGAATTCTTATGTGCATGATTTGATATCCTTGTATTTCTCCTTGAATTATTGGTTTGGTTTGGCCAACTAGATTGGTTCTTCTTGCAATGGGAGAGGTGCTTAGTTTTGGGTTCAATCTTGCGTGATTTCACCTAGTGACAAAGTAGGGATAGCAAGACACGTATTGAATTGTTGCCATCAAGGGTAAAAAGACGGGGTTTTCATCATATTTCTTGAGTTTATCCCTCTACATCATGTCATCTTACTCAAAGCGTTACTCCATTCTTTATGAACTTAATACTCTAGATGCATGTTGGATAGTGGTCGATGTGTGGAGTAATAGTAGTAGATGCAAGCAGGAGTCGATCTACTTGACACAAATGTGATGTCTATATTCATAATCATTGCCTTGGATATCGTCATAACCTTGCGCTTTTCTATCAATTGCTCGACAGTAATTTGTTCACCCACCGTATTATTTGCCTTTAAGAGAGAAGCCTCTAGTGAAACCTATGGCCCCCGGGTCTATTTTCCATTATATATTTTCAGATCTATAAACCAAAAATACCAAAAACACCTTGTTGCAATTTATTTACTTTTACATTTTAGTAATCTTCTATATCTATCTCTATCAAATCTTACCTTTGCAAGTGACCGTGAAGGGATTGACAACCCCTTTTTTGCGTTGGGTGCAAGTGTTTGATTGTTTGTGTAGGTGCATATATTGGGGACTTGCGTGTTTCTCCTACTGGATTGATACCTTGGTTCTTAACTGAGAGAAATACTTATCTCTACTTTGCTGCATCACCCTTTCCTCTTCAAGGGAAAAACCAACGCAAGCTCAAGAAGTAGCAGGAAGAATTTCTGACGCCGTTGCCGGGGAGATCTACATCAAGCCTACCAAGTGCCCATCATAAACTCTCATCTCTTACATTACATTATTTGTCATTTGCCTCTCGTTTTCCTCCCCCCCACTTCTAAAATGTCTTCAAAAAAATACAAAGAGATTTGCCTCTTTATTCACCCTTCTTTCGTTCGTCTTTTCGTTTTTCTTTTTGTTTGCTCGAGTGTTAACTTGTTTGCTTGCCTTTATGGCTCAACTCAAGAACTTTGATCCTTACTATAGGAAGTTGGAAGAAACTGAAAATAATGCTAGGAGTTTCATGTCCATGCAATTTGAGCATAATAGTTTCTTCAGGAACGAACTTAAGGAGCAAAAACCTTTGATGGAGTATATGAATAAAGAGCTCGATGATATGTCTAAAGAATTTTATGGTCTTAAATCCCAGTTTGCTCATCTTGAAAATTTATTATGCCAAATTTTTGTTAAACAACCCACTTTGGTAAATAGGATGGACGCTAAACTAGATTTTTCTGAAAATAATGATGAAGATCTTAAAGCGATTGATGTGACTCCTAATGAATCTTTGTTTTCTAATATAAATCTTGATAAAGATGGGACTGGAGATGAGTCAACTTTAGTTAAAAGGTGTCCCAATGATTTGGAGTTTATAGATCTTGATGCAAAAATTGATAAAAGTGGGATTGGAGAGGTCAAAACTTTAAGTAGCAATTAACCCACTCTTTTGGATTTCAAGGATTTTAATTATGATAATTTTTCTTTGATAGATTGTATTTCCTTGTTGCAATCCATGTTGAATTCTCCTCATACTTATAATCAAAATAAAGCTTTTACTAAACATATTGTGGATGCTATGACGAAATCTTTTGAAGAAAAGCTTGAATTGGAAGTTTCTATCCCTAGAAAGCTTTATGATGAGTGGGAACCTACTATTAAGATTAAGATAAAAGATTATGAGTGCCATGCTTTGTGTGGTCTGGGTGCTAGCATTTCCACAATTCCAAAAACTCTATGCGATGTGCTAGGTTTCCGTGAATTTTATAATTGGTCTTTAAATTTGCATTTTGTGGATTCCACTATTAAGAAACATATGGGAAAGATTAATGATGTTATTATTGTTGCAAATAGGAATTATGTGCCCGTGGATTTCATTGTTCTTGATATAGATTACAATCATATTTGTCATGTTATTCTTGGTAGACCTCTCCTTATAACGATTGGTGCAATTATTGATATGAAAGAAGGAAACATTAGATTGCAATTTTCGTTAAGGAAGGGCATGGA